CAGGAAGCACAGGCGGGCAGGGGCGGGGAGCACCGGCGGGCAGGGGAGGGCGGGGAGCACCGGCGGGCGGGGGAGGGCGGGGAGCACCGGCGGGCGGGGGGGGCGGGGAGCACCGGCGGGCGGGGGGGGCGGGGAGCACCGGCGGGCGGGGGGGGGGGGAGCACCGGCGGGCGGGGGGGGCGGGGAGCACCGGCGGGCGGGGGGGGGGGGAGCACCGGCGGGCGGGGGGAGGGCGGGGAGCACCGGCGGGCGGGGGGGGGCGGGGAGCACCGGCGGGAGGGGGGGGGTCGGGGAGCACCGGCGGGCGGGGGAGGGCGGGGAGCACCGGCGGGCGGGGGAGGGCGGGGAGCACCGGCGGGCGGGGGGCGGGGAGCACCGGCGGGCGGGGGGGGGCGGGGAGCACCGGCGGGCGGGGGGGCGGGGAGCACCGGCGGGCGGGGGGGGGAGGGCGGGGAGCACCGGCGGGCGGGGGGGGGAGGCGGGGAGCACCGGCGGGCGGGGGGGCGGGGAGCACCGGCGGGCCGGGGCCGGCTCCGGGCCGAGAGGCGCGCGGGTGTCAGGCCTCGGCGCGGGCGAATCCTGGACGGAATCCGTAACCTGCCTGACCCGGATCTGCGCAGGAAGGACCCCACGCACCCGGGGCCAGAGCGCGCGCCGCGGTGGGGGCGACCGACCCCGACAAGCCCCACCAGCCGTTCCCGAGAACTCGGAGGGGCGCTCAGCAGGAGCCCCGCCCCCAGAAGACCACGCCCACCCACACGACCACGCCCACCGCAGCGAGGCCACGCCCAGGCCGCGCCCCCAGGCCGCGCGGGAGGCGGGAGGCGCGGGAGGACCGTTTCGCCAGCGTCGGGGGAGCCGCATCTCGCACGCACGGGGAGAAAAACGCGCACCGAGCACCGAGCAGGCCGCACCCGAGACGCCCGGAGGCCCGTGGCGGGCGGGAGGGTCACGGTGCCGACGCCCAGCGCGGCCCTCGCTGTCCCCCCGCAGGCCCCGCGGCGGGGGCGGCCCGGGCGCGGGGGGGGGGGGGGCGGGGGGGGCCCCCCCCTCCGCGTCCTGCCCGCCGCCCGCCGCGGGGAGCGCCCTTCTGGCTCCAGCGCATACACGTGCCTGACGCTGCCATTTGGGGCAGTTTCTCACCCACAACACTGCCCTTGCACGCTTCTCGCCTTGTATTTCTGCCGAGCCCCGCGCATCCCAGCGAAAGGTCTTTGAGGCGAAGGGGCGTTCCGCGCAGCCGCGGCCCAGGGGCTGAGGGCAGGGGCCGTGTCAGCGCTGAGTCACCCGCCGAAGCTCTGGACTCTCCAAGGAGGACAACTTCTAAGCCAGAGATGAGAGAACTCCGGCCCCTCTTTGGCGAACTCCCCTGGCAGTGACTCACTACTCCCCACCCGACAGCCCGGCGCTGGCACCAGAGCTCGGGCCCCACGCCCACGCGGGCCTCCCCACCCACCGCCACCCACCAGCTGCCCCAAGGCCCTTCCTCTGCACCTGCTGCTTTGAGGCCTCCCGGCGCTCCAGTTCCCACCGCGACCATCAAACCCTAAGGCCCGGATCTCCGCCCCAAACACCTCTCACCCCCCCCCCCCCCCCCCCCCCCCGCCAGTGGGCCCGCCCCACAGGGTCCCCATGGAAACCTCCTCACCACCCCGTGCAGGCTGTGCACCACTCCTCCACCACCACCCCATCTGCTGCACCTCAGGACCCTGACCCCCCCAGCACGGTACAGGGTCCCCAAAGGGCCTGACAATGTCACAGCAGCATTGTGACAGACAGTGAAGGCGTCCAGGTGAGAGCTGACCACTCACACTCAGGCCTCTGGGACCAGGTCCTCCGGGACAGTCAGCACTTACCACTCGCTGCCGGCTCAGATTTAAATCAGCAGCAGGTGACACAGCCCTCGGCCTCACCAGCTCTATCGCTGCTCCGCAGCCTCAGCCGCCAGGGCTGCCCCGCTGGACGCCGCCCCATGTGCCTGCCTCAGCCTCGTGCAGATTCACCTCCTGTGGCCAGGGGCTGTTTCTCACTGTGCCCCGCCTGCCAAGCCCCACTCTTGCCCAAGAACTGGCCCCCTGGGTGGGCGACGCTCTCCTCTGCAAAGCCAGTCAGTCTTTCAGACACGCGGGCCACCCCCAGTGGGCTCCCCTCACCCCCGTGCCCTCGGGCCAGCACCCAGCAGAGCTGGCAATGCCACCCAGCCCTGAGGGCTCATCAGTCTCCACTGCTTGTTTCCCACTCGTGGGCGTGTCCACTCACCCTGGAAGGCCCATGCTATGCTACCAGGGCGCTGGGATTGCAAGGGGCAAAGCTGGGCCAGGGGGCCCAGAGGCCGGAAGGGGGTGGTCTCCAGCACCATCCACACCTGCGGACGAGCAGGGGGACGCCAGCTGTGTGAACCGATAGAGGAGAGGCCTCCCCTTGGGAGAAGCCCTCAAAGCTCAGACTTCGAAGAGGAGAAGCTGGCAGGGCCCCTGCAGGGAGGTGGCTGCACGGCCCAGACAGCGGGCGCCAGAGCTGGGATGCCGCCTGCCCAGGTGCGGGGTCACATGGCTTCAGGGGCCAGGTAAGATTTCAGTTTTGTCCCAAGCACAAAGGCCAGGAGCAGTTTCAAGCAGGGAACTGGACACCGCCAGCTAAATGAGACACTACGGCGCTGGCGGTGCCCGAGCGCCAAAGGCTGAATGAGTGGCCACTGGCCCCGGCCTGGTCCCGGCCTGGTCCCGGCCTGGCCCCTACAGCCCCGGCTCCCACCCAGCTGGGTCGCCTGGCCCGGACCGTGGCTCAACACTCAGGATGGAAAGGAGAGTGGAGGCAGCCTACCCAGCGCAAGCAGGGCCACACCCGCGTCGGCAGCCCAGCCATGCACACCCAGAGGCCCCGGCTCTGCCTGAGCAGCCCCCACACACAGTTCCTCTCGCGGCCACACGGGGCTGGCGGGCGGGTCACCTCTGAATGTCTTAGGGGCCGGCAAGTGTGCCAGTGGGGCCAGCCTGTGCCGTGGCCTCCCTGGCCCTGGCCACGCGCGGTGCCGACGGTGCACTGGCCAGAGCCACCGTTCCTCTCTGGTCTGTCTCAGTGGGTTTTTACCACCCGGACAGCAAGCCCCCAGCGGCGTCTGCTCACTGTGCCCGGCTGCGTCCCAACGAGCCCCCGAGATGGAGGTGCCGGCTCCTCTCAGCACGTCCCGCTGTTGTCGCCCGCTGATGGCACTGCCGAGTCCACCATGGGGCTGAAACCCATTCCCAAGCCCACCTGGGGAACAGGCACAGCCAGACACAGGCCCCACAGACAGTCAGCACCGGGCCTGAGGCCCTGGGCAGCCAGGGCTGGAGCACAGGTTGGGCCACACCACGAGTGTGGAGGGAGGCGTGGGGGAGCAGAGCCCGGAAGCCTCGAGCTGCGGTGGTCACAGTCCTAGACTCGTCCAAGGCCGGGACGGGGAATGGCCGAGTGGACACCCAGAATCTACCTTTATAGATCTGCTCACAATGTCATCTTACCACTGGTCCTAAACCGTGAATGTTCTTCAGTCGTGAAGGCCACACACATCAGGAATGAAGCGCAAACGTCCAGAGGACAGTGGCGCGGCCAAGGCCCCAGATCCCAGAGAGCGGAAGGTGCAGGCCAGCGGGACTCTCGCGTTCCCAGGCCTCCCTCCGCTGGCCGGGCCAGCTCACAGCCGCAGGCCCACGCTCTGGCGTCCCCCGTCCTCCCTGTTACAAGGACAGCGCTGGCACGTGTAGCCACCACGCTCCGCCATTCACCTCCAGCCTTCTCAGCCACAGGACCCCGAGCCCAGGGCTGCCAGCGCCAGGCTTTGGAGCTCTGGGGCGCTGGCTGGAGCGCCCCTTCCTCAAGACCACTCTAAACAGTTCTGTGGAACGATTTACCTCTGGGGATTTGTTCCTGTTTCGCTTTCACGGAGGCTGTCCTCCCGGCGAGGCCCGGCTGGCTGCAGTCAGCGGGCGCTAAGATGGAGGCGCCACCCCTCGCGCGCCGGGAACACCCGGGGCGCTGGGCTCCCGCGCCCCCGGCGCCGGGATGGCTCCGGCTTCACGGAGGACCAAAGGCGCCGCGCCAGGAACAGCCCCGCAGGGAGGCGGCCGCGGCTTCTCCACGCTCTCCCGGCGCCCTCGGGCCAGATCTGGCCGCCCGCGGGCCGCACCTCGCCCGGCCTCGCCCGGCACCACCTGCTGTTGACAGCGGCTCGGCGCGCCGCCCCTCCCGCGGCTTCAAAGACAAGCCTCGCATTGTGCGCGGGAGGCGCGGGCAGGGCCCGGCCTCGCAGAGGTCACCGCGGCCGCGGAGCCCACGCGCGCCAGGGGCGGGGGCGCCGCGTTCCGGCCGCCGCGGGCTGCGCAGCGCCCACAGCGGCCGCGGGGCGGGCGGCGCGGGGCACGGCACACCCACAGCGGCGGGGGCGCGCCCCAGGCCCGGCCCGGCCCGGCCCGGCCCGGCCCGCGCCGCCGCAGAGGCCGGACAAAGCCGGGCCCGCGCCCCGGAAGCGGCGCCCCCGCAGGCGCCCGGCCCGCACACGCCGCGCCCACGCGCCCCCCGCCCCGCCCCGCCCCGCGGCACGCGCGCCCGCAGCCCGCAGCCCGCCCCCCCGCAGCCCGCAGCCCGCCCCGCAGCCCGCAGCCCGCCCGCCCCGCAGCCCGCAGCCCGCCCGCGCGTGCACACCGCCCTGCACACTCACGCCGGCGGCCGCCACGCTCGCTCACACCCACCCGCGCCGCACGCTCGCGCCGCCGCCGGCCGGGCACACTCACCCCCGGCGCGCGCCGCCCTGCGCGCCGCCCGGGCCCCCCGACGGCCGCGCTCCCCGCGCTCGCCCCACGGGCCGGCGCCCCCGCCGCCGCCCGCCGCCCGCCGCCCGCCGCCCGCCGCCCGCCGCGCCCGGGTCCCGCAGCGGGGCCTCCGCGGGCCGGCGGGGCCTCCGCCATCTTCCCGGCCCGCGCCGCCCCCGCCCGCGCCCGCGCCCGCGCCCGCGCGCTCACCGGCCGGCTGCGCGCTCCCCGCGCCGCCGCGGCCCCGCATCCCGGCCGCGCCGCGCCCGAGCTCCGCGGCTCTCCCGCCGCCGCGTCCTCCGCCGCCCGCGTCCTCCGCCGCCGCCCGGGGCCGGCCCCGCGTCCCCGGTCACCAGCGCAACCCCCCGCCTCCGGCCCCGCCCCCGCGCCGCCCGCGCCCGCCGCCAGGGGGCGCCGCCCGCGCGCCTGCGCGCCCGCGGGAGGCGGGGCTCCGCCGGGGCGCGCGGCATGCCGGGAGGCGGGCGTGGCGTCGGCCGGCCCCGCCCACGGCGCGGCCGCGGGAAACCGGGGTGGGCGGGGCGCCCGGGCCCGGCGTCGGGGCGGGCGCGGGGCGCGGGGCGCCGCCCCCCGTCGGGCCTGTCTCTGCCGGGGCGGCGCGCGGTGGTTCGCCGTGACCGCGAGGGCCCCTCCTGGCCCCGCTGCTGAGCGGCCCGGCCCCGCCTCACCCCCGCGCGCTGGGCAGCGAGGCCGCGGGGCGTGGCCGCCGTCGCCCTCCGGGCCGCGCCGCTGGCCTCCGGGGCGCACGCGGCTGACCCCCGACGGGTCGGGACTCCTGGCGTGGACCCCGCGCCCCGCCGCCCCGCCCGCCCCAGGCGAGGTGTCACACGGTGAAGAAAGTTTGCTGTGGAAATACATGTATTAGCAGAAATGATCCAAAATAAAATCAAGCTAGAAATTTTGATATCAGACAGGGTATTAAGTGCCAAACATTACAAAGGGCGGAGAGGAAAGTTAGGGTCTGTTAAGTGGCTAACATATTAACGTGCGCGCTGACAATACCCCTTAACATACAAAAAGTCAGCTTTATGGAGAAACCGAGCAATAGCTGCAGGGAAAAAAATACGCCTTTTTTAATTAAATCTAGTATTTTTAAAAAAGATTTCTTTATTTATGCATACAAGAGCTGGGGTACAGGCCAGAGATGCAGGGGGTGAGTGGGGAACAGAACAGGCAGACTGACCGAAGTACACTGCTGAGGGGAGCAGTGGGGAGACAGGAGAGGCCTGCTGTGCCCTGTGGGCAGCTCCCTGGCCGGCCATTGAACTGCAGAGGCTGTGGGTTGCTTCATAGCGCAGAGCTTAACCCCTTGCGCCCCAGGGAGGCTCCGGGATGGGGAGGTTTTAATGGCCTCTCTTATCCCTTCCTCAGCAGTTAACTCAAGCCTCCTGCTTTGGCACAGCTTTGGTCTTTTGCCAGGAAGTCTGGGTTCCATCCAGGGGTTAGCCTCCCCGCCCTCCTGGCCTGGGCCGGGGTTAGGGTCTCCCTGGCACCCCCCTGAGCGGCCACTGGCACCTGGAGGTGGCAGGAGCAGGAGGACTTCCAGACACTCGCCCAGAGCCGGGGAACTGCAGCCTCCTCTGGGTGCCTTGTCGGGGGGCTCCCCCCCACACTCCCTTTCAGGGTGTGCTGGAGAGTCAAAGGGTCAAAAGGGTGATGAAGGCAGTGAGCCCCTGGAGAGCCCAGGCCTGGCCTTGCCAGCCGCCCCCCCACAGAGCGCCTCTGGTCTGGCTGGGGACCCCCATCCTGTGCAGGGCTTCTACCCTGAGCCCCTTGCGCGCCCCGGGCCCACGCCCGGCTCTTGGGGCCCAGCTTCCAGCCCCTGAACCCACTTGTCTGCCAGAAGCCCGTCCTCACTGTAGGGGCCCGGCCACCCGGCCCGAGGACCAGGACGGCTGGGAGGGGTCGGCAGCCCCTGGCCCGGCCCGGCGGGGGAGGCCCGCAGGCGCACCAGGACTGACCCCGGTTTCCAGGGCCCAGAGCCCTTGTGTGTAGCTCCTTGTGTGTGAGCCGCGCTCAGCCCTGACCTCAAACAAAGCGGCTATTTCACCAGAAAAATAGGGTTATTCAGAAACAACAGGCAGCTTGGGGGCGGGGGCTGGCGGCATCCCCACGAGGCGGGTGGATTGAGGGGCCCTGGCCTCCCCTTCTCTCCTGGGCGGACCCCCGCCGCGCCCCTGGCCCCTGGCCTCTGAGGAGGGAGGCAGCCCTGGAGGGCGGGACGCGGGGGAATTGAGGCGCCCCCAGACCAAGCGCTCCCGCGAGGCGCCCTGCACAGATGAAGGCCAGTTGGGATGGGTGTGGGCCGAGAGCTCGCGGGAGCGCCCGGACTTCCCTGCAAGGTGCACAGTTTCACAGCGATGAAGCGTCGGTGGTCGGCGAGGGAGACCTAGCGGCCATCTCCCGCTGCGAGAGAGCAGAGGGGACTGTCCCTGAGCCGGCCAGCGGGCTTGGCATGAGCAGATTTGGGTGGCTCATTCAGCAGAATTGTCTTACAGGTCTAGAAAAAACGAAAAAGCAGAATTTGTTCTGAAATGGACACCACGAACACTGCAAATGGAAAACACCCTTCAAAATGCGGACACCTGGTTTCTGCCTTTTGGAGGAATTTATTCATTGCAGTGTGATCGGGGACGCCTCTGGGGACACCTCTGGGGACGCCTCTGGGGAGCCCGGCCTGTCCAGGGGACCCGCCTTATCTTTGAGCAACCTCCTGGAGGTTCCAGGTGAACATTCAAAGACTCAGCTTCAGTCAGACAGAGATCCCGCAGCCTCCAGCCCGTGCTGAAGACTCTGCCAGCAAGTGGGAGCAGATCTATCAACTTAGGAAGCCAGCCCAAAGCCTGTGCCACCACCGCCCTGCTGGATCTTTTGATGCCCTCGGCCTGGCGGCTGCAGGAGCAGGCTAGTTGCTCCGACACCAGATGTGAGGAGAGAAATAGCCTGAGTGCGAGTCAGCAGGCTGGGGCAGAAGAAGACCTTACACCCAGCTCCCTGCAGCACTTATGGGGGGAGCACAGAACGTGCAAGGTTGGTGGAGCCTGAATGGTCCTTCCTGCTGAACCAAGGTGTGACTTGAATTTGGGCGCATATCGGCAAAATCAAGTCCACATTTAACGTGAACTGGACACCTTAGTTCCTTCATGCTGTGACCTTTGTCCTTCTGGGCTGTGGGGAGTCACTCCGCCCTGGTGCCAGTGTGACATGTAGCCGACCATGCAAGGCCTAAGCTTGAGCCATCTCAGGAGGACAAGTTAGGACTGTGGGAAAATTCCAGTCCAAAACAATAGAGTCCGGGTTCCTGTCAGAAAAACAAGATGTATGGACCCTTTGTACCGGGCCCCCAGGATCTGGTGAAAGGCTCTATTGCCTGTGTTTTGCTTCTGTACTCTCGCTTGCTTTGGCACCTGCAAACTCCCGGATATGGTTTTCAGCTTTAAAAACCCTTGTCACCCCCTGCTCGGGGCTGCTCCCTACAAGAGGGACAGTCGCCGGCTGGCTCATAAAGCCTTTCTCTAAATCTGATTCAGACTCGGGGCTGTGTCTAGGGGGAGACTCCACAACACTAGCACCTCAACTAGCAAAGCCGTGGCTGAAGTCCCAGCGGCATTGCTGGCGATGCCCCACGGGCCAGGAGGTCCGGGAGGGCGCCCGCCACCACCGCCTTGGCTGTGAGCAGGCCCACGACCTGGAGGCTGCTCGCCGCGCTCCTCTTCCACCTGCCCCTGGAGGTGACCCCTGCCAAGGGCAGCCCACCCACTGGGCCAGACCCACCTCCCCGTGCCTTGTTGTGAAAGCGCCAAGCAGTGTCAGGAGCCACACACCCTCCACCTGGGCACCACGGGCATCTGGGCATGCCTGCTCTGTGTGTGAGCATGTTTGCTGCTGAGAGAGAAATATGGTTTTGTTTTTGTTCTGTGTAGAAGAACCAGGGTGCAGGCCAGAGGTGCGGGGGTGAGAGGACTCCCCAGAGATAGAGCGGGGAGCAGAACTGGCAGACTGATGAAATCCACAGCTGAGGGGAGCAGCGGGGAGACAGGAGAGGTCTGCTGCGCCCTGGGGGTCACTCCCTGGCCAGGTATCAAACTCGTGCTGCAGTGGCTGCGGACAGCCTCACAGTGCTGTGCTTAACCCCTGGCGCCACCAGGGAGGCCCCATTTAACTTTCTAACAATAATTCTGACTGTGATTCTGTGATTATTAAAGTACAATGAATTAACTGCTGAAAGTCTATAAATTAATGGACTGAAGATAGGATTTAAACTGATTTTTTGAGCTCCTGGGCATCAGAATGGGGGCCGGGCAGCGGGAGATATGCCGAGGGAGGCACTGGGGATCTGACGGGAGTGAGACGGTGGAAACCGGCCAGGAGTTCAGGGCAGGGGGGAAGGGCAGCCGGTGCCGGCCCCTGTCTGAGGCCAACGGTGCGGGAGGGGAGCCAAGGGTGGCAGTTTGTCTCCTGCAAGGCAGCGTTCTCACCTCCGTAGCACATCGATTTAGACCTGATGTGTGTTCTGTCTTGAGTTTTATTTTTAAATATTTTTTTATTTATGCATACAAGAACAATTGCCAAATTCTTTCCCACATTTATCACGTTAAAAATGTCTTTCTTGGGAAAATGTTTTTATGTCAATAAAGTATCTTTCAGGTTCATCATTCCCAGGGGGTTTCTCTCCGAGTGGGTTTGCTGGGGCAGGGAGAACGGCCAGCTCGGGCTGAAGCCTTTCCCACACACACCGCGACCGTGGAGTCTCTGACCAGCCTGAGTCACTCCGTGTCCAATGAGGGGCGAATCCCGACCGAAGGCTTTTCCACATTCGTGATATTTACAGAGCGTCCCCCAAGCGTGACTCTCCTGATGTTCAGGAAGTGGGGAGATGTGACCGAAAAGTTTTCCACGTTGGTTGCTTCCAAAGGCTGGCTCCCTGGCGTGAATCGTCCAACGCAAAACCAGGTTTTCACTGTGGCCAGAGACTCCGCCCGGCTGTTCGCACACAGAGCGTTTCCCTCCCGTGTGGATCTGCCTGTGTGGCCTCAGGCTGGGGCAGCCAACCAAGGCTGGGCTGCAGTCTCTGCACTCGGGGTTCACTTTTCTACACACTGGTGGGTTCTCCCCAGTATGGATTCTCTGGTGTTGAGTGAGGGTTGACCGCCGGCTGAAGGCCTTCCCACAATCACCACATTCATAGGGTTTCTCCCCAGTGTGAACCCTCTGGTGTAGGGTGAGTTGTGAGCTCTGACTGAAGGCTTTCCCACATTCAATGCACGGATAGGGTTTCTCCCCAGTGTGTACTCTTCGATGCTGAACAAGAGTTGAACTCCGGCTGAAGGTTTTGCCACACTCATTACAGACATAAGGTTTTTCTCCAGTGTGAATCCTCATGTGCTCAGTAAGATGAGAGTTAAAACCAAAGGCTCTGCCACATTCATGGCATACGTAGGGCTTCTCTCCGGTGTGAACTCTGTGGTGGAGAAAAAGACTGGAACTCTGACTGAAGGCCTTCCCACACTGGCTACATTTATGGGGCTTCTCCCCAGTGTGGATCCTCTGATGTTGAATAAGGCTTGAGCTCCTACTGAAGGCCTTCCCACACTGGCTACACGCATGGGGTCTCTCGCCAGTGTGAATCCTCTGATGCTGTGTTAACTGTGGACTCTGGCTAAAGGCTTTCCCACATTCATTACATTTGTAAGGTCTCTCTCCTGTGTGAATTATACGGTGTTGAATAAGTGTTGAGCTTCGACTGAAAGCCTTCCCACACTCGCTACACCCGAAAGGTTTTTCTCCGGTATGGATTCTCTGATGGAGAAGGAGGTGGGAATTGAGACCAAAAGTCTTCCCACATTCATTACATTTATAAGGTTTATTTCCGGTGTGAACTCGATGGTGCAGGATAAGGTTTGAGCTGCGGACAAAGGCCCGCCCACACTGTGCACACTCATAGGGCTTCTCCCCATTGTGGCTTCTCTGATGCCTATTCAGGTCTGAATTATATTTGAAGGTTTTGTTGCATATGTCACATTTAAAGGCTCTCTGTTCTGTTTTATTTCTTTGAAATCTAATGACATTTTGGTTCAGATTCAAGTTTGTATCAAAAACACCACACTTGTGGATTCTTTCTACTGGAGATCTTTCCCTACACAGTAGAGTTTCTTTCCTAAAAGCTCTTTTGTAAAGATGGGGCTTCTTCAAATTCTGCCCGGCAGAATCTTCCTGATTCCCTTCCACTTTACCTTCACTGCACCAAGCTTCCTGTATCTCAGATGCCTGTAGGTTACCACTCAAGAATCTCCTTGATATCAGTTCTTTGGGTTTTACTTCTTCAGAACATTTCTGGTTTAGAAAGCATAGCTCCTTCTCAGTCCCAATCTCAAAATCTGTTATACAAAACATAAAGGAGTTATTGGAGAAAACTATCCACCACTGATAATATCCACGTGTTAGAAGCTCTGACTGTTCCACTGTTATCCAGTGGAAAAGCAGGTGGCAAGAAGAACTGGGAAGATGCTCAATCAGCAGGAAATGTCTTTAGTAATCAAATAAATGGAAATTAAAACAAATTATGACTTTTCATCCATTAAATTGGACTATTAATCCATTCAACAAATAGTTAGAAGATCAGGAATGTTCTAAGTATGGCACAAAATAGCCTCTGACCCCATGGAGCTTACATTCTAGTCAGTGGACAGATAACATGTTCGAATAAGCCTGGCAAACCATCCACCATGGCAATTATGTGGAAACATGAGCATCTATCCTAGAATCCAAGTCAGTTCCATGCTCAGAAGAGAGCTGGGAGGAAGCGAGGTTTTCAAACAAGTCTAAGAACTAGAACAGCCTCACTTAGATTAGAGCCAGAGCATGAGCCGTGAGTGGGGCTGGGGCTGGGAGGTCGTGAAGGCACTTCCAGAAGCTCAAGAAATGTGGCGCTTTGTCAGACATACTGATGAGAAATGGTATGGGACTGTAAATGTGGCTTTTTATTTTTAAATTTTTTTTAAAGATTTATTTATTTTTATACAAGAGCTGGGGTACAGGCCAGAGGCGCGGGAGGATTGACCAGAGACAGAGCAGGGAGCAGAACAGGCAGAGAGCGGAACAGGCAGACAAGAGAAATACACTGCTGAAGGGAGCAGTGGGCACGACAGGAGAGGTCTGCGCACCGTGTGGGATTCTCGCCGGCACAGCCGGGATGGAACCCTCACTGCCGATGCTGCGGACAGCTTCACAGCACGGCACTCAACCTGCTGCGCCACTAGGGAGGCCCTGTAAATATGGCTTTTTAAAGAGAAAGTTGGAAACAGCACCAAAATAATGGCTATACTACACCTCCTTTGTTCCCAAAATGGCACTTGCGGGAAGTGGGTGGTCGAGGGCGGGAAGACCTGCTGGCACCAGGGCCGCAGTGGAGCTCCACCCAACTGTGAGGAAGTAGAAACAGCCCAAATACCAAAAAAAGAGGGACTGTTTAAACCAGTCATAAACCATTTATATGCTGGAAGACCGTTCTGTGATTAAAATTATACAATAGAAAGATATACATTTGAAAATCCATGGCCTATTATAAAGTAACAAAAATCATGTTCTCGAATTGTATGTCTAACATAAATCAAATTTTATTGACAATGGCTATGTGAAATAGGTGCTGTTTCTTCGTGGATACAGGCATCTTTTATATATACAAACCCCAGAGGGGAGGGCGTGTCAGACAAAGGGAAGGCAGGAGGAGATGCTCGCGCAGGCACAAGCGGGCAGAGTCGCCCACGTACACGTTTCTTTAGCGCAATCGATGAAGCCACATACGTTTGGTATTTTCTCCAACAAGGGTTTTTATTGCTGAGTCAAATTCTTTAACACGTGATAGGATTATGTAGTTACGTCAATGTCAGTTTTGACAGACCACATTTTTCTAGGCTATACATTTTATCTCAATATTCAAATTTTTGGAATAAATATGTTCAGACGTCTTTTTATTTTATGTCTGTGGTGTGTATGTTGGTGGCTCCTTTCTCATTTGGGTTATTTGCTTCCTTCCTCTCTTCTTCTTGATCATTTACATCTAGAATATAGAGATGGTAGCGGCCCCAAGGCCTTGGTGTGGTCAGTGAACTTTGATGCCAAAACTTGACAACAACGATATGAAAGGGACAACTTCAGACCAATCTCTCACAATTATAGATGCAAAAATCTCAAATAAAACACACAAACCAACGCCAGTGATGTGCAGCAAGGCGACAAGCTGTGTTAATCCCAGCAGCGCAAGGTTAACGTATCAGTAGAAGAATTTCTGTGACTCGCCCACTTAAAGAAAAGGGCAGGGAATGATACAGAAGGAACTTTTGATAAAGTTCAACACCAATTTCTGATTAAGAATGCCCCAAACTCTCAGAGAACTAGGGCCAGAACTGTGCTCGAGCTGTGCTCAAAACACCTGCAGCAAACACCGACCTTGGGGCGGGAGCATGGCCCAAGGGTGCACTGTCCCCTTGGCCGCGCCTGCTGTGCCGCCGCCGAGCCCAGAAAGAACCGTGGTGCACGAAGGTCGGAAAGGAAGAAATTGAATCTTCACTTGCAGGAAATTTGTAAAAGTTTATCAAGTTTGCTGATTAAAAAATAGGTTACATTTATATGCAGAGAAAATAGAAATAGCTAGAAAATTACAAGTTATCACTTAAGCCCAAATAGGAAACTTCCCAGACCCACTGGCAGCGGAGCAGGTGGGTCACTGTGGGCCAGCGCTGACCAGCAGGGGTCACAGAGGCCACAGACATGCTTTTGAGTGAAAGAGACTGGACACAGAAGGATGTGTGCTGTGTGACTGCAGTTACTAAATCCCCAAATCAGTCAAAACTTCATGTTTTGGGGGCAGAGGGGCCTGGAAGAGCATAGGGGGCTTCTGCGTCACTGAAATGATTAGTTTCTCATCCTGGTGCTGGCTGCGCGGCCGGCTCTGATGTGTGGAATACAGTCAGAAGTTGTGTGCTTTTATGTATGTACGTTGAGTAGCAAGAAAAATTATTTTTATACAAAAAATTAATATGTTGCCCTGTCTATAAAGCAGAAGAGTGTGTGTGTGTGTGTGTGAGAGAGAGAGAGAGAGAGAGAGAGAGAGAGAGAGAGAGAGAGAGAGAGATGGCACATGAATAAAAAATATCAAGCACGCAGGAATAAAGCCAATCTGCTCACAGAGCGTCACAGTCCATCACTGAGTGCAGCTGCGAAGACACAGACAGACAAAGGCCCACGACACCACAGACTGGGGTCATCAGGCTACAGAGATTTCCATTACTCCTGAAAATTTACTGTCACCCCAATCAAAAATCCAGCTTTTTTTTCTTTTGAGTCACTGATTCGATAATGAATGTGGAAATGCAAAGACCCAAGAGCAGGTCGGTGGGAGGAGCAGCGGGAGGGAAGGCTAGGCTCTGGAAGGCAGCCGCGGGGTGCAGAGGGTGGCCCAGAGGAAGCTACATTCCAGCGGGGCCCCCAGCAGGCGCCCTCTGGCCACTGCTTGGCAGGCTGAGTCGGGCAACTGCACGTCCATCCATGCCACACTTTCCTAGGACAGGTGAAATAAAATTTGCATTTTTTGATATGAAATAAAAAGTACCAGTACAAGGAGGTGAGAAAATATACATTTCTCTAGTTTAAAAGGTCATTGCCCAAAACACCAGATTTAAATAAAAAAAAAAAGTCTTTATGGAAAACTAAATGTCCTTAAAAGTGACTTTAATTATTCTGCCTGTGGTGACAGCGCCACTGCCACAGGCCTTTCACTGTCAAACCATTAAAACTGCTTATACGTCTTTTTTCCCCCCTAAACTTTTTTTGGAGGCACTTTTTTATATTTATATGTATTTATTTATCGTTGCGTAGAAGAACTGGGGTGCAAGGCAAAGGTGCGGGAGTGAGAGGACTCTCCAGAGACCGAGTGGGGAGCAGAACAGGTGGATCCAGTGAGACACCCTGCTGAGGGGAGCAGTGGGGAGGCAGGAGAGGTCTGCTGCGCCCTGTGGGCTGCTCCCTGTCCAGGGTCTTACTCAGGCCGCAGTGGTGACCGCCTGAGACTGAGCCCCAGTCTCCTGGGGAGGCCCCAAAACTGCTTATATTTCTTTTTTTTTTTTAAAGATTTATTTATTTATTTGTTTATTTGTTTGTTTGTACATACAAGCACTGGGTACAGTCAGAAGCGCGGGAGGGTGAGAGAATTCACCAGAGCCAGAGCGGGGAGCAGAGCAGGCAGAAGGACCGAAGGACACTGCTGAGGGGAGCCATGCGGGACCCTCCTCCGGTGGCCAGGGAGCAGCCGGGGATTGAACCGGCGCTGCAGAGGCTGCGGGTAGCTTCGCAACCCAGCGCTCAACCGCTGCGCCACCGGGGAGGCCCGCTGCTTATATTTCTTAAACTGGATTTAATAATAACAAAGGCACCCTTATCTCACTCGGATTTACTTGTAAATACATCGTGAATATTGGCTGATACTACGAGGTGGTCAAAAGTTTTTTGTTTTTTTTTTTTAAATGCTTGACATCTCTTTTTTTTTTTCTTTAATATTTATTTATACAAGCACTGGGTACAGTCAGAAGCGCGGGAGGGTGAGAGAATTCACCAGAGCCAGAGCGGGGAGCAGAGCAGGCAGAAGGACCGAAGTACACTGCTGAGGGGAGCAGCGGGCGGCAAGAGAGGTCTGTGCGCCATGTGGGACCCTCCTCTGGTGGCCGGGGAGCAGCCGGGGATCGAACCGGCGCTGCAGAGGCTGCGGGCAGCTTCGGAACCCAGCGCTCAACCTCTGCGCCACCGGGGAGGCCCCAGAGGTGGTCAAAAGTTTAAGCTACAGGTATACATGTACTTACAGAAGTAAACTGACTATCTGCCTTTCGGCCAGAACCGCTATCTTCCAGTAAGTCGCCAAAATGACCAACACAAAGGGAAAGAGAAGAGGGACCTGCTATATGTTCTCTAGGCCTTTTAGAAAACATGGAGTTGTTCCTTTGGCCACATACATGCAAATCTACAAGAAAGGTGATATTGTAGACATCAAGGGGATGGGCACTGTTCAAATGCTCCACAAATGTTACCATGGCAAAGCTGGAAGAGTCTATAATGTTACCCAGCATGCAGTTGGCATTGTTGTAAACAAGCAAGTTAAGGGCAAGATTCTTGCAAAGAGAATTCATGTTCGTTTTGAGCACATTAAGCACTCTAAGACCAGACAAGGCCTCCTGAAATGTGTGAAAGAAAATGATCAGAAGAAAAAGGAAGCCAAAGGAAAGGGTACTTGGGTTCAGCCGAAGCGCCAGCCTGCTCCACTAGAGAAGCACACTTTGCGAGAACCGATGGGAAGGAGCCTCAGCTGCTGGAACCCATTCCCTATGAATTCATGGCATGAGAGCTGTGCAAAAAGAAATAAAAGAGCTCTGGATTATAAAAAAAAAAAGATAGAGAAGTAAACTGACTATCTGTAGTGTATGTTGGAAACAGCAAAGTGGATTCCTAGTCCGACAGGAGGAGGTGGAGGCCAGGAGACGTGAAAACCCAGCACAGTGAGATATCAAAGGCAGAAGCAGGTGCTTGAAAAGCTTCCCCATGGGGTGTTCGGGAGGGAATGAGGACCAGTCCCCAGGACCCGTGACCTGTGTGTGTTTGACGGGTCTCAATTAAAAAAAAAAAAAAAAAAAGGGCAGCTCATTGCAGCAGACTGAGTGGAAGGTCCAAGTGCAGCTCAAAGCAGATACCAGGTGACAACACTAGGGGTGACAGCAGCTCTCCCTGAGAGCACAGGGGTGCTGGCAGATGTTAGGGGCACCCCAGTAAAAAACAGCTAAGACACTGGCTACCAGATGACATGCGCGTGGACAATGGTGGGACACCCAGAGGAGACGTCCTGGCTCGCCCAAGGCCACGCAGCGATTGGCCACAGAGGAGAGAGGCTCCAGTTCTTCTCCCTCCCAGCCCAGAAAATCAACATCGGCCTGGACGGTCACAGCGGTCTGGTCTGGGAGGACAATGCTTAGTTCCGAGTCTCTGTCTCCGGGAGGAAGAGCGAGGGGGACGGAGGGAAGGGGCCGTGTCGGGAGGCCGGGCCGCGGGGGATGCAAGGTGTCAGGTGGAGCTGAGCCTGCAGACGGAAGCCATCAAGGAAGCCCCCAGGGCAGACGCAGCTAGGCGAATGGCAGCAAAAGGGCTGACAGGGGAGGGAGGAGGGGACAGCCCTGGGGTGGGGTGCCGAGGGTTGCTGCGGGCGCAGCTCCCCGCTCCCAGCCTGGGGCTGAGCCGTCTTGCCATAGCAGAGGCAGGAACACCGCGGGAAACCACAGCACTTGGGGCTGGAGGTCCAGAAGCGAGAAGCAGGGTCTGTGAATGCTGAGGATGATGCGGGGCTCCGGGGAGGGGTCAGCGAGGGGAGAACCACGCTCTTTCCAAACCATGACCCCTGACTCAGGCCCCGGGGAACAAGAGGCCAGCCCAGGAGTCTCGGTCAGCCCAGCACAGGAAGCTGCTGCTGAAGACAGAGCGCGCCCCCAGCGGACACCCAGCAGGCCCTCCCGTGGGAGGACCCCACGCGGGCAACGCTGCCATGGGAAACCAGCCCAGGCAGACCCTGACAGCAGCCAGGTGTTGCCACTAATGGGCAAGGATTTTATTTTATTTTTTTTATTTTTATTTTTTTTTAGATTTTTTTTAATAGAGGCATGTTTTATTTGTTTATACAAGCACTGGGTACAGTCAGAAGCGCGGGAGGGCGAGAGAATTCACCAGAGCCAGAGCGGGGAGCAGAGCAGGCAGAAGGACCGAAGTACACTGCTGAGGGGAGCAGCGGCGGCAGGAGAGGTCTGCGCGCCATGTGGGACCCTCCTCCGGTGGCCGGGGAGCAGCCGGGGATCGAACCGGCGCCGCACAGGCCGCGGGCAGCTTCGCAACCCAGCGCTCAACCGCTGCGCCCCCGGGGAGGCCCTGGGCAAGGATTTTAAAGTGACTATTATTCTGGGGCCACCCTGGGGGCGCAGGGGTCAGTGTCAGCACCATGAGGCTGTCCCAGCCGCTGCGGCCTGAGGCCACCCCGGCCAGGACACAGCGCAGCAGACATCCCCCCCCACCGTGTCCCCTCCGCGGTGTGTGTCAGTGGGCCCGCCTGCTCTGCCCCCCGCTCTGTCTCTGGGGTGTCCTTACTCCCCCACCGCTGGCCTGCACCCCAGCTCTTGTGTGCATAAACAAATAAAATAAATGTTTTAGGGGCCTCCCCGGTGGCGCAGCGGTTGAGCGCTGGGTTGCGAAGCTGCCCACAGCCTCTGCGGCGCCGGTTCGATCCCCGGCTGCTCCCCGGCCACCAGAGGAGGGTCCCCCATGGCGCGCAGACCTCTCCTGCCGCCCGCTGCTCCCCTCAGCGGTGTCCTTCGGTCCTTCTGCCTGCTCTGCTCCCCGCTCTGGCTCTGATGAATTCTCTCACCCTCCCGCGCTTCTGACTGCACCCAGTGCATGTATAAAACAAACAAACAAACAAACAAACAAATAAATAAAATAAAATAAATGTTTTAAAAGTAAATAAAGCGACTATTTTACTTACCCGCAATGAAGTGAAATAAAACATGACAATCTCGGAGAAGCGGGGGTTCTCTGCAGGGGATGGCACGCACAGCAGAGAGCCCGCGGGCATCTGCGCGCCGCAGGGAGCGCTTTCCGGGCAGCCCCACGGCGGGGCCTGGACGGGGCTCTCCGCGGGGGCCGGGGCGTGTTCAGGGCGCGGAGGCAGAGGCCGCCCGACGCCGCGCAGGGCCCGCGGGAGCCGGGCCGCCGGGCCGGCCGGGTGTGCGGGGACCACGGCCAGTCGAGTCTCCCGCGTTTGACCGAAGACGGAAATGCGCGCGATGTGGGGGCAGCGGGAGGCGGGCGGGGCGCGGGGGGGGGGGGGGTACCGGCGGGGCACCCCGGCCGCATCCCGCCCCGCCCAAGCCCCACGGACACGCGCACCTACGGGGAGGGGCGCGAGGGCGCAGCGCCCGGCCCGGGTCGGGGCCTCGAGGGCAACCGGGAAAGCTGCGCGGAATTCCAAACAGGACCTAAACAGCCCGAATAAATAAAGCTCCAGGGGCCCAGGGGGCACCGAGCAGGCGGGTGTAGAGGCCAGGAGACACCCACAAAGCCGCCCGGCTTCGCAGCCGCCGGTGACCACGCGGCCCGGCCAGGCCCAGGCTAGGGGGCGTCAGGGGAGGCCGGCCGGCCCGAGGCTCCGCGGGCACGGGGTGGACGGGGCGGCCGGGCTGGGGCTGCCTGCCTGGGCAGCAGCTTCCAGGCTCGCAAGCGCCGCGATCAGCCCGTAAATGCCCACGAGGCGCCGCGGGCGGGGGAGACGAAGGGAGGCAGCGGCACCCACGGGCGCACCCTTCCCAGCAGCCGAGTGGGCCGGGAAAGGCCTCCCTGAGGCAGAGGCCGGCGCACCAGCGGCGGGTAAGTGCCAAAGGACGAAATCAGACTGTGCTCTTGACCGCAGTAGAATTAAATTACAAATTAGTAACCGTAAGATAAATAGGAAAGCATCGACCATTTGGGGATTGAACACGTCTAAATAATCATGAGGTTAAAGAAGAAATCACAGGAAAAAGTAGGTCATATTTTGAACTCAGTGATGAAAACACAACACATGACTTCCGTGGAGGCGTCTAAGTCGGGGCTTCAGGGGAAGATGTGTCCCCCCAAACGCCTGTGAGAAGCACCGGCCAACACTCTCTCCCTTCAGGAAATGCACTGACTCACACAACCGGTGTGAACCGTCCGGGCGCGGGGCACACTGCGCCCAGTAATCCACTCAGAAAGAGTCTTTCTAACTAAATGACTGGAAGACTGACTGGCCGAGCGGGAGATGGGAGAATGTCTGGCAAGGGCCCGGCGTAAACAGCTCTGCACTAACTGCAGGCCCCAGCCGACAAAGGCGGGGGCATTTATGCTTTGCAGGGAGAAACAAGACAATAGGCCAGAAACAGGAGGGACGGGGGAGGGAGAACAAGGCCAGCAACTGTCTCCACGCTGGGAGGCAGTGGGTGCGCAGAGCTGCCCACACTGCAAAGGCAGCACTGTGCTGACCACCGGGCACGGTGGGACAGAAAAGGACAGTCTAGGGCTCCCCAGTGGCGCAGCGGGTTAAGTGCAGCGCTGTGAAGCTGTCCGCAGCCTCTGTAGGGCGGGTGTGATTTCCAGCCAGCCAGGGAGATACCACATGGTGCGGCAGACCCCTCCTGCCTCGCCCGCTGCTCCCCTCAGCAGTGCTTTCGGTCCCTCCGCCTGTTCTGCTCCCCACCTGTCTCTGGTGAATCCTCTCACCCTCCCATGCCCCTGGCCTGTACCCCAGCTCTTGTATAAAAATAAGTAAATCTGGGGCCTCCCTGGTGGTGCAATGGGTTAAGTGCTATGAAGCAATCCGAAGCCTCTGCAGCATGAGTTCGATCCCCGGCTGGCCAGGGAGCAACCCACATGGCGCAGCAGACCTCTCCTGTCTTGCCCACTGCTCCCCTCAGCAGTGTATTTCAGTCAGTCTGCCTATTCTGTTCCCCGCTCTGTCTCTGGTGAATTCTCTCATCCCTCGCATCTCTGGCCTGTGCCCCAACTCTTGTATGCATAAATAAATAAATAAATCTTATAAATAAATAAATCTAAAAAAAAAAGAAAGAACAGAAAAGGACAGTCTACTTCCTAGTGGGCTGGCAGGGCCAACAGCACCGTCTCAAGAGGGAGTAAGGAGACACTGACTTAAGGGGCGAGACAGTGATTCAGGACTGAGCACAGAGGAAGCCTCCCTGAGAACAGTTGCCTGTCAACACACATCACACAAACCAGCAAGAGCCTTTCAGGGTACGTGTGAAAGCATGTCCAGTCCAGGTCCTCCGGCGGGCGCCCCAGCCTGGGGCCACGCCAGGAGCTCCCCCCACCCTTCCCACGCAGCAGCCCCCCACCTCTCTTACCTGCCCTGATGCTCCTGGAGGCCTCTGGCTCCTTGGCTGTCCCGAGGCCCCTGGCCCACAGCACCTGGCCTTGCTCTAGCTGGGAGATCAGCTCTGGCTTAGGAATAGGGAGTCCTGTCCCGGTGAGAACTTGGGGTGAGCTGGTGTGCGCCTGGGGGCTGGTGGGATGTGCAGGGGCTGGGAGCCCCCTCAGCAGGTGTGCCCAGATGAGGGGAGAGGTGGCCCAGAGCCAGCCCTGAAGGAGGGTCCCCTCACTGGACACAGAGGCCTGTGGCAGGCGGGGAATGGATCGGGAGCTGGGACCAGGTGGAGCTCCCATAGGGAGTGGGCAGGCCAGGCCAGGGACCTGGGCCAAGTCTCTTTTGGGCTCCGAGGCTGACAGCTGCAGCCCCTGCCCCTTCCCGCCCATGCCCATCCCCCAAGGCTCGGTCAAGTTGGGGGTCTCACCCAGTGAGGCCACATGCTCAAAGTTCTCCAGCATCACGGTCCCTGTACAGAGCCCACTGGTCAGGGCCCAGCCGCCACCACTCTGCTTGTGAAAAGTACACAGCCACGTCCTGGAAGGTCAGCGTCGCCGCCTCCTGCCGGACACAAGGCCGCTGCCCCAGGGCCACACACCTGTGCCTTGGGGACACCCTCCGCCTCGGGACCGTGTCAGCCCCAGCACTCCTCTTGCTGGGGAAGGGGTGAGTCGAGTCCCAGAACCCTTTCTTTGGGCGCGAGGCCTCCACGGCCTTTCCAACTGCTCGGCTTGCTGCTCCGGAGGTGATACCTGCACATTGGTGGACACCTGCACAGATGGGGCGGGGCCAGGAGGAAGGCGGACTCACCTGGGCTGCCGGAAGCCCCAGGACAGCTGCCATGCGGGGGTGGGGGGCGCGGGATTCGAAGGGCTGCTGGGGCTGCCCCAGGACACCGTCAGCCGAGGGGACCCATACTCAGAACCAGTCGGTCTCATGAAGTCACCCGCCAACTTCCAGGGCCTAAGGGGTAAGTGGAGGGCGGCCAAAGGACGGACATTAGCCCTGGGCAGCTCCTGGCGCCTCGAGTACCGTCGCTCGTGGACGTCGCTGGTCAGCGGCCTGTGGCCACAGTCCCCGCCGGGGAGGGGGGTGTCGCGCGAAAACCCTCGAAAACCCTCTCGGAACCTGCGGCAGGTGGGCCGTGCAGGGGGCGGGCCTTGAGGGGCGTGGCCAGACAGGCGGGGTCTTGGGAGGGGCCGGATGCTGGGCGGGGCCCCCAGGACGCGGGAGGGGCGGGGAGGGGGGCGCCGGGCCGGCGGGCCCGCGCTGGGCGTCCCCTGCCCGGGTGGACCAGGCTCGCGGAGGGGAGGGGCGGGGCGAGGCCGCGGTCCGCCTCCAGAGCCAAGCTGGTGCCCGGGGCAGCTGCGCAGCCCCTCAGCCGGGAGGACGCGGGAGGAGTGGGTAGGTGGGTGGCTGGAGCTGAAGCGACGCAGCCAGAGCCTGTCGTGCTCGGCACCTCCGTCCAGGCTTCTGGGCGCGCCTCTGGTCCTCATCCTTCCAACAGCCCTGGCCAGGCCCCCACTTCGGCCCGTCCCGGCCCCCTTCACCCGCCTCCCTTCCCGGGCTGCCTCCTCCCGGGCTTGGGGCTCCCGGGGTCCGCGCCGCCCTGGCCTTCGCGAGCTCGGCGCCCCTGGGCCGGTGGGCGCGCCTCCGCGGCCGCACCTGCCACTCGCCGCCACGCCCCGCCCGAGCCGCACACCTGGGGCGGTCCGGCCCGAGGGGCGGGGCCCGCAGGAAGGGGCGGGGCCGCCAGCAGCGAGTGCGCCTGCGCCGACCCCGCGCTCGGCGGGGCCGGAAGTGACTGCGAGGCCCCGCCCGGCACTTCCGCCCCCGGAGCGCCGGTGCCGCGGCCGCGCGGCCCTCACCTGCCGCACCCCACACCTGCCGCTCCCCGCACCTGCCGCGCCCCGCGGCCCCCCGTTCACCGGCCGACCCCCACCCCTCATCCCCGCACCCCTGCCGCGCCCCCCGCTCCCCCACCGCTCTGCCCTCCGCGCAGCCGCGCACACGCCAAGATGTTCCCTGGACGCGCGGCCCTTGAGGACCAGCCGCGCCCGGTGGGGCGGGACGGGGCCAAAACCCGGCAGGAATGAGCGGATGGAGCCCGGGGGGGCGGGCAGCGGGAATTGTGCCCCAAATGTAGGACTAGGTTTGAGGCAGTGAGGAGGAAGGGGACTGCCCAGGAGCGGTGATGCGTTTCGGGCCGCCCGCCCCGAGGGCTGCCCGCTGTGTCTCCGCAGGCCTCTTGACCCCGCTGCCCGCTGGTGTCTGTGCCAGCGGCCCTCCCTTTCCTTTTTAAACCATAAATAAATAAAAATAAAGTTACAATGAGATTAAGCTTTTTTTTTAAAGGTTAACAAAAGATTTATGTACAAGGGACGGGGAATGAGGAAATGTACAACTCAGGGAGAGAAGAGAGAGAGAAATTCCTAGATGTGTCCTACCCGTTCCACCGACCTGCAGTCCCAAATGACCCACCAAGACCGAACCTGCCGGGCCAAGAGTAGAGCCAAGTGTGCCCGACCCCACTAGCATCTCTGGTTTTTATTTACAAACAGAGACAATGGCTGCTTAGCTCCGCCCTTAGTTCCTTGCCACTTCCCTTTGGGGAAGGGAATTAAACTTGTAAATTAAACTCTGTTGTGAGCTAGCTGTCCCCTAAACGTCCGCCCAGTCATCTGGACTTCTGCCCCTTCCTCTTTGGAAAGTACTTTCAATAAAACTTGGCCTTACCTCTAAGCTCTTGTTAGGGGGAAAAGGAAGTCCTAAAGCTAATTCCATACAGGCTTTGTGGACTCCACCCCCACCCCAGGCCAAAGCCAAAGCCACTGGGAACTCCAAATCCCATCACCACCAAAGGGAAGGTGGCTGGGACCTGAGGGTGGGGTTCAGCAGTCACGTGGGTATAAAGCCAGACACGTGGGTTTTGGGGGGTCCCCCATTTTGGCTCCCCGCCAGCTCGCAGCTTAGCCAGCTCTAAGAGTGCCTTTGGGTTTCCGGGTTGGCGGATTGGGTAGGACACATTAAAGACTTTGTTTCCCTATTTTTTCCCTGAGTTGTACATTTCCTCAATTCCCTTTCCCTTGTAAATAAACCTTTTATTAACCTTTTGTATGTGCCTGTAGTGGAGTATTAATAAGTCCCTTTTAAGCGCATGGGTGAGGACCCACAGCCAGGCAACCCATTTTATATCAGGGCTGCTCGGTAACACGCTCAGCCCCGGGATCCACACAACCACATGCAGCTGCCCCTCCTCCCTCCTCACCTGCCTTCAATGACTGCGGAGCCTGACCACGAGGAAAGCTGCTGTCTCACCAGTACTTCGTGCTGGGGAGATGGATGCGGGCTGTGCCGGCAGGATGCCGTGGGCACAGCCCTGAAAATCCATCAAGCTCCACGTGCAGGGCCTTAAAGCCAACCAGCACCTTTGGGGCTGGCGGGCGGGGCACTCCTGGCGGGGACCCTGCCTTGCATGGGGCGGCTGCACAGACACTGGCTAGTGATCTGTTTTCTTTGGACTAAAACTCTTGTTGTGAGCTGAGACTTGTGCCCAGTGACACCATGAGAAAGTGTCAGACATTGACACCGTGAGGAAAGCAGGATGGGCCACGATGACCAGCGGTGACAACAGACTGGGGGCCGAACTTGACAGACCAGCCAGCTGTGTCAGAGCGGGCTTTGGGGTGACATACCCTGTTCTCTATGATTGTTGGCTTTCTGGCCCTGGCATTTTCCAGTTACAACTTTCCATCTGGGAATCCACCCCCCAAAGTAGCAAAACTGTAATGGTAGGATCCCCACCCAAATTATTTTATAGTGGAGAAATTTTGGAGGAGACCTAAGTTTTCTACAACAGTAACGGGTAAATCAGTTGTCTTGTGTCTGACTGAACATAGTACAGCCAAACAATATGATTTTTAAAAGAAATTTTATTGGTGAAGAGTAAAGTTGATGGAATAGAATGTAAAACTGACAGGTAAGACCATACACAGCCTCCACGGTGTGTGTTTGTGTCCTGCACAAAGATCTGTGAGGCCAGGAGCCTCCTTTGTTTCGTTCATTGCGGAATCACGGCCTACAACAGGGCCTGCAGCATCCAGGCCTCCCTGGCGGTGCAGGGCCTGAGTTTCAGCACTGTAAAGCTATGCCAGCCATTGCAGCCTGAGTCCACCCTCCATCCTGGCCACGGAGCTGACCCACAGGGCACAGCAGACCTCCCTGTCTCCCTGCTGCTCCCCTCAGCAGTGTGTCTCAGTGGATCCACCTGTTCTGCTCCACACTGTCCCTGGGGAGTCCTCTCACCCCCACACCTCTGGTGTGCACCCCAGCTCTTGTATGCATAAATAAATAAATCTTTAAAAAAGAAACAACTCTTAGAAAACTAATACATTAAAAAAAGCGTGCAAATATGTAAATATATTCAATCAGATGCCACAGGTGAGCCCCACGCAGGCCGAGAAATAAGGTCTCTAGGGGCCCCACCACCTGGGCCACGGCTGCCCTTGGGTGGCAGCTGTGATGCTCATTTGTGGGGAGGAGGCCATGACAAGATGGAGCAGCTCTCTCTGAGCAAAGCAGACTGGGTACATCTGTGGCCAATGGGCTGAAGAACATGGTCCATTTCAAAGCAAATTATAACTTCAGTGTCTTGGCCTTGGATGGAATAAATTTGAGTAATTCTGGGTTTTTTATGGGGGGGGGGAAATGATCCCGCAGAGGAATTCTGTTTTAAAAAAAACAATTAACAGGACTCAGAAATCCTGTGCAAGTCACACCCAGTCACTAACTCCATGAATCCCAAAGATAATCTGGATCCTGACTTTTAACACCATAGATTATTTTTTCCATTTTTTAAAATTGTGGTAAAGTAACAATATTTGCCCCATTTTACTGCACAGTTCAATGGCGTTGGAGGAGCCTGCCCAACGACATCTGCTGTGTCTGATCTGAGCACCTGGGGAGTGTGCGTGGTGACCCCGTTTGGTGGCTGAGGGGTCTCACGGAGCGGAACATCATCCAGGCACACGGGGCCTGTGCCGGGAATCTCAGTGTCCATGGATGCAAGCGCCTAGAAACAAGCACAGTCTGTTCAACCCACTGGGGCACAACAGAGGAGCAGCCCCAGGCAGGTGACCCGTGGGGCTGTCGCTGTGCACCCTCGTGGCCTGCATGGCCTTGCAGGAAAGTCAGGCCCCATCTGGAGTGGGAACAGGCCTGAGGGGCTGAGGAGGCGGAGCACCAGCTGAACAGGAGCCAAGTGCACCCAGGACACCCCGCTAAGCTGTTCCAGGGAGAGATTCAGCCAGATCCAGCCTGGGTTGGGCCCCTAGGTCCATGCCCCCGTCTCTGGCGCCCATGTCCTGACCACAGCCTTCTCCAACTGGTGGGTCGTAAAGTGCCCTGACGGGGCTGACCACTCCTTGACAGATCGGGGACACGTGGCGTCCCTCAGCCTCCTGGTAGTCTTGGCAGCTGGCTGCTTTCACTCAGCACAGCGTCTGGAGGTTCATCAGGTTGTGATAAGCCGGCTCTTCACTCTTTCCTGCTGAGCACTCTCCCGCATATCACAGTCAGTCATGTGCACGTGGGGTCACCGTTTCTGATGACCATGAGTAACGCTGGGAAGCACGTCTTTGTGCGAGGCTGTGTGGGGACATGTTTTCGTTGTTCCTGCACGTCTGACGGGGCTGGCCTCACCGGGTCGCACCCACGACTTTCCCAGACAGCGCCGAGCCCTGCGCCACGCGGCTCCCCTCGGCGGGCAGGGCCGCGCCCCACTCTCGCGACACTGGTGTTTAGCTCAGGCCGCCGGCGCAGCGGCGGCGACTCACAAACAGCAAGGCCGTGCCTCTCGTGTTCAAGGGCGAAGGCGTCTCCTGCGGGACCGTCCTGCGGGCCTCGCCTGCGGGGACGCGAGCTCACTGGCTCTGCGGCCTCTGCGTCCAGGGGCCAGGCCCCTCCTGCCCAGCACAGCACCCGCTGCGAGGGTTTCCACACACACACGGGCGCGCAGAGCCTCAGCCTGCGCGTCCGGCGCCTCTGTGATCACCACCCTGCGGGGCGCGCCAGGGCGTCTCCGCGGCTTCAGCTCCCACGGCCCAAGCCCCGCGCGCCGGGGCCCCGCGCTCGGCCACTTCGTAGCCACCTTGCCGACGGCCCACTGCAGTCGCTCACTGATCAGCTCGTCTGCCTTGTTCCGTCGCTTCCAACACACCCGCGGTGCCGGGAGATCTCGCCTCACAGTTCCCGCAGTGCGGAGCCGGGGGCTGAGCGTCCTCCCCGGCCGGCCGGAGCCCGCGGCGCCCCCTCCGCTGCCCCGCCCACCAAGCCCCGCCCCTCAGTCGCCCCGCCCCTCCGCTCCCCACCCACCAAGGCCCCGCCCCTCCGCTCCCCGCCCACTCAGCGCCAGACCCCGCCCGCTCCCCGCCTGGCTCCTCCCACTCCCCTGCGGTCCCGCCCCCAGGCCCCGCCCGCTCTCCGCATGCCTCGCCCCCTCCCAGCCCCACCCCGCAGGCCTCCCCCGCGTCCCCGGTGGGCGCCCCAGCGTGGACGACGGCGCGCCCCGCTCCCAGCAGAGACCGAGGCGCGAGTGTTCGTGACGCGCCTAGAAATCCTCGCGATGCCTGGAATCGCCTCTCAAGTAGGCCCCACCCCTGGGTCTCGCGGATCACAGAGTGCCGCGTCCTCCGGGTTTCCTAGAGCTGACCGGAAGTGGCCCGGCTTGCTTCCGGGGGTGTCCAGGTCCACTTCCGGCTTCCACTGCGCGCTGCTCTCCCCTGGGCCCTCAGTTCCCGGCCGCGGGCGCCAGGTGCGGGGCGGCTCGGGGCGCCGGGTGGCTGCTCCGGGCCCGGGGTTGCCTCCGGGCGCGGGAGGGCTCCGGGCGCGGGCGCGGGGGGGCGGGTGCGGGGCGCGGGGCGCGGCCCTGGGGCCTTCCGGGGGAGGTGGGGCGCGGGGGTTGGGGGGCTCCGGGCGCGGGGCGCGGCCCTGGGGCTGTCCCGGCGAGGTGGGGCGCGGGGGTCCTCGCCCTCCTGTGACGCCGCCTCTGCCCACCGCGCGCTCCCCGCCCTGGCCGCGAGCCTGTGGGTCGCCCTGTCGGCGGTGGCTCCATTCCAAATGGACAGGCCCGGGCCCAGCCCTTGGCTCGGCCTCCTTGGTGGCTGAGCAGGGACCGGCTCTCGCGGGAGCCGTGGTGCGACTCGAGAGGGGGCGCGCGGCCCTGAAATGCCCAGGCGGCCTGCGCAGCCTTCTTTGTGCTCCGGGCCTTTCTCCTCTGTCTCTTCATGCACTTGGGGCTGTGGTCGCCCGGTTTTCTCTCACCTCCCCTCTCCTCCCTTTCCTGCCAGCTCCGCCTGCCCGGCAGGACCGGTCCCGGCAGCGTAGCTGACAGGTGCAGTCTGCGCCTGAGGGCACAGTCTTAGGTCTGGAGGAGGTGGGTCACTGGGCCCCTCCTCTTCCTTCATGCAGGCAGGTGACCCGGACCTCCTTCCGAGCCCAGAGGCGGGACAGCAATGTCTGCTGTGGGGGCGGCAGCTCCATACCTGCACCACCCCGGAGACAGTCACAGTGGCCGAGTGAGTTTTCTGGGGCCCCAGCCCCCTCTGGAGGTGGCAGCAATGGCCCCGCTCCTGGGCGACTTGGACAGGGGCATGTTCAGAAAGCTCTTGAAGCTGGTGGTGGGCAGCTTGCAGGGAGAGGACTGCTGTGAGGCTGTGCAGCACCTCAGGGCCGGCACGGACCTGCCAGAGCAGCGCCTGGGCATCCTGCTGGCCGGCTTGCACGCTCTGCTCCGGCAAGCCCTCCGACTGCCCCCCACCAGTCTGACGCCGGACACCTTCAGGGACCAGCTCCAGGAACTCTGCATCCCCCAGGATTTGGTTGCGGACTTGACCAGCGTGCTGTTTGGGAGCCAGCGGCCCCTCCTTGACTCCATGGCCAGGCAGCAGGCAGCCTGGCTGCCCCACATGGCCGAGCTGCGGTGGCGGGTGGACGTGGCCATCTCCACCAGCGCCCTGACACGCTCCCTGCAGCCCAGCGTCCTTATGCAGCTGAGGCTGTCAGATGGGTCAGCATACCGCCTCGAGGTCCCCACAGCCAAGTTCCAGGAGCTGCGGTACAGCGTGGCCCTGGTGCTGAAGGAGATGGCGGACCTGGAGAAGCGGTGTGAGCGCCGGCTGCAGGACTGACCGAGCTGCCCATCCCACCCGTCCCTGGAGGTGCTCTGCAGCCTCTCGCGGGCCTGGCCCTCCGGCAAGAGGATCTGGGGGTGGTCTTTTCTGCGTGGTTGGAAACAGCTGTGCAGCTCAGTCCTCTTTGAAAGTAAAGTAGCTGCAAGCACATGTCTTCCTGGTGGGTGTTCCACCACCTGCGCTGTGGTCCTGCTGCTGGGGGAGGGCCCCGGGCATGGGCCTGTGTGCCCCTCAGCTGGCCTTGGGCCTCGTGTTAGCTCTGTGACTCCTGCTTCCACGTGGACATCTGGCCTCACAGAGCCAACATGCCTGCAGGACGGGGGCCCTAGGGTAGCCGTGAGGGGTTGGTGGGTGACGCAGGAGCTGAAGCCGGGTTGGGGGGTGGGCTGTGGGGCCCTCAGTCCCAGGCTGTCACTCTAACTGGCTCAGGATGGCTTTCTTGAGGACATGGCACCTGAGCAGAGACTTGAAAGCGGAAAGCAGCAGAGTGGTGAGGGGACCTGAGGGGGACTCCAGGGAGCCAGTACGTTGTTAGGCCCAGTGGCTGCACTGCATGAGGGGCGCATGGAGGCCTGTGTGATAATCTGGGGTGATGCTACAGGTGAGCAGCAACTGCAGGGTGTGAAGGGCTTGGCTCAGGTCTGGTTCTGAGTGAGGAGCAGACAGCAGGGTGGAGTCGGGGCACAGGAGGCTGTTGCCGGGACTCCCTCCTCTGCCCTAGGGTGGGGATGTGGTCTCCAGCAGCGGCGCACCCCAGGCAGGGGCCTCAGGACCTGTTCTGCACACCCCGTGCCTTCAGGCTGTGTTCCTGGACCAAGTCCTCTCTCAGCCGTACTCCAGGACACACATCTCAAAGAGGCAAACGTGCTTGAGCAGTGATTTGGGTGCCCAGCTGGCAGCCGGCTGCGCCTGTGCAGGAGCCCCTGCCCACCCCAGCACCCCTTCACACCCCTGCTCCATGCAGTGTGTGCTTGGTTTCCAGAAGGGCCCCCCCCAAGCTGTCTTAAGCCTGCCCCTGGCAGTGAAGGGCAGGGGAGGGGCGCAGCCCTGGGGCTCCCAGTGACTACAGGACATTTGTCCCTTGTGGGGTCCACCGTGCCCCTCCCCCGAGGACAGGGCTGGGCTTGGGGCTGGATGGCCTGCGCTGCCCCTGCCCACCTGGGTGGACATGCTCAGGTCAGCTCAGGCCACACGGACCTCCCTGGGCGGTTAGCCTGTCTTGGAAGATGTCCCCATTTTGACGCATACAAAAAACCCGAAATATGATACCAAAAAAATCCTAAGGAATTCTGACCTGCACTATCTGGCCACGCCTGGGGGCGCTGGGCACCCCAGGGCCCTTCATGGAGGCCGCACCTTCACGGCCCCATCACCTGATTCATGTTGGGCGTCAGGACCCAACATGGCAACTCTGGGTGGGGGGCGCAGATACTGAGAACTCCGCGGTCTGTGCTGTTGGTGGTTCACGCGTGTTGCCTCTGACGACTGCCCAGGAGAGCCCCGGCACCCACACGAGTACCTAGAGCCCTGGGCCGTGCGCCCCTTGCCGGCCTGGACCCCCTTCACTGGGAGAGCCTTGTGTGCTGACTTGGGTGTAGACCCGCCTCTGGCCAGGGTACAGCCTTGGAAGGCTCATGGACCCTGAGCAGAGCAAACACACACATTTAGGGTCCCCTCAGTGAAACCTGACCAGTGTGGCCAGAAATGGAAACCTGGGATCTGGGTGCAGGAGCCCTGGTGGCTAGGATCACACCCAGTGGCAAGCAAGCCCCGGGCCACTCTGTTGGGGGCTGCGGCAGCGCGCGCCTATCCAGGGTCAGGCGATGTCGCTACGTGTCCTGCTGGTCCAGTGTTGCACTCAGCCCTGCAGGCCAGGTCTGAGGACAGTCAGTGGGCTCTGAGAGGCCCACGCCACCTCCGCTCCTGCACCACCCTGCCCGCCAGGTTTCCGCGGGGGCCCAGGGCTGTCGAGGTGTCTTCACTTGCTGGGAGAGTTAGTGGGGGGGGGCACTGGGCATGTGGTCCTGGCCTTGCTTCTTCCCGAGCTGGTGCAGGGGCGTGCGGATGGCAGGTTGGAGGCCGGGGTCTTGCTGTAGGGGTGGGCAGGCGCGCCTGACCTGGGAGGCCCCTCTGTGGCGCAGGCTGCTGGGAGGGGGGGCTCTTCCACCAAAGCCCAGAGTCAGCCGCTGAACCTTGTGGCGGCTCTGCCTGTGGCCACCCAGGGCAGGCCCCTCCTGGCCCAGCTCCCAAAGGGCAGATGGCGGCGTCTGCACACGGGAACCACAGGCCCCAGATAGTGCTGATCCTGTCAGAAATCAACGTGCAATCTGATCAGTGAGACGAAAGTGATTTCAGTTCAAAATGATGGATTTAATTTATTGTCTCCAAAAAGAAATCCAAAGTATGTCAAAATCTACACTGAAAGGGTCCTGGAAATTCTTGCGCATACTGTTGTATTTACTGAAGCCAAAATTGGGAACTACAGCTTGAAAGTGGCGCAGAATTTCCCCACCCCATCACAGCCACAGCTGCTGGACCTCAGGGCCCAAGGCCGGGAGTGTGGCGCCCCCTCCAGCCGCAGGGCCGCCGGTCAGCTCTCTGGGCTTCGGCTGCCCTGGGACACAGGTAAAGCGACCGCCGCTGAACCGAGAGGATCAGGGGGAGGGAAGGGCCCAGGCCCCGCGGGCAGCCCGAGGCGCCAGTGTCCGAACCCCGCTGGCTCTTGGAGGTGAGGCTTCCAGGGTCTCCCATGTCACTGGCGGTCTTCTGTGCCCCAAGTGCTAGCGGTTACTCTGAGCTCTTCCACCTGTCGACAGACTGAGCTACTTCAACAGGGAGATTTATTTGGGCAAACGTCAACCTCAGTAACTGGGCAGCGTCCGGTCACAAGGGTCAGGAGTGCTCTGTGGACAGGTGCTGGGAAGCGAGGTGAGGATGTGGCCAGCTGCGGCTGGGCACTTGCCTCACCTGGGGAGGCCTTGCTGGCTGTGGCTTTTGTTCTCAGGTGTAAATGCTGCCTCAGCGGTTGGCTGTGTAGCTAACGAGGCGCCGGGGCTGGGCGGCCACCCTGGGCCACATGTAGCACCTCACCTGTTCAAAGGGGAAAGGGGAGCCGTAGGTCCAGGGCAGCAGCACATCACCCCTCCCTTTGGCCCTGCCCGTCACCGGGGCGCTCGGCTCCCCCAGGGATGGCACGGTGACCTCACAGTGTCCTCCGCAGAGGCTGGGGGCGGTGGCCCTCAGTGCTCAGCAGCCTCAGCGGCCAGCGGAGCGGAGCGGGGCTGCGTGTGTGCCAGGGCCTGGACCCGAGCCCACTGCTGCTGGCCTCAGCTAAAATACCCCACAGCCCGTTGGAGTGACCACCCTGCAGCGCGGCAGCGGCGACCACCGGCCTGTCTCTAACTGGGCCCTGGGCACAAGATCTGGGGGCAGCAGGGGCGCCGGAGGCAGGGAAGCAGCCGGTGACTTCATGGTGTCCGGCCCTGGGAGGGGCCTTCGCCCTAGCACCGACGCAGACAGGGCCCAGAACTGCCTGCAGGAGACCCACACTCAGCTGGGAGGGGCCCAGGCCACGGAGGAAGGTGAGGCTGTGAGGTCTCCAGCACCCACCTTACCTCAACCCCAGCAGGAGGCGGTGACCCCAGAAAGATTACACCAAACCTAGATGCTCAGGTGAGCAAACAGGCTCTGGGCTGGAGCGGGGCGAGTGACCTCCCGGGGCGTGCCTGGACACCTGTAGGGATCCGTGCCTTCACAACAAAACCATACTGCCCAGCCTCTCCCAAGAGGGGTCTGGGTGACCGTGTCCCTGGCAGCTCTGATGAGATTAGGGTAAGGAATTCGAGCCAACCCCCCCGAACTTGCACTAACACGAACCTCACTGTTGAGGCTGATGCTCTGGGGAAACCAACCCGGCCCCCCACGAGGGCCTGCTGGTGCAGAAGAGCTTCAGCTTCCCCTACCCTCTCCGCAGCTCAGGGTCTTCCCTCCGAGGACTCGCAACTCTGCGCACATGCCCCTGAGGTGAGGAACCTGGGTCTGATGGGTTGGGATGCGGTCACATTCCAGCAAATAGACACAGTGGGAGTCTGGACACGCTTCGCCTGAAGAGAGCACCTCTGAGTCTTCCCCGACATTCTAAGTTCTTGTTGGTATAAAGGATCCCATATGAGATAAGTAAGTTAAGGCTGTGGGTTTATTCACATTTATGTACACTTACACAGGACCCATGTGAATTTTCTGATGCTGGGTAAGCCTTGAGCTCCGATTAAAAGCTTTGCCACATTCATTACACTTGTAAGGCTTTTCCCCAGTGTGGATCCTCTGATGTATGATTAGATGAGAGCGCCACCTGAATATCTTGTCACATTCATTACACTTGTGCAACTTCTTCACTGTATTCACCTTCCTGCGGCTTGCATGTGTGGGGCCTTCCAGGGTGTTCCCGTACTCGTGGCACCACTGGGCCCTGGTGTGGATCCTCTGATGCTCGATGAGATACGAGCTCCGGCTGAAGGCCTTCCCGCACTCGCTGCACCCATAGGGCTTTACTCCAGCGTGGATTATCTGGTGTTGGAAGAGGGTTGAGTTCTGACTGAAGGCTTTCCCACACTCGCCGCATTTATAGGGTCTCTCCCCCGTGTGGACCCTCTGATGTATGGTGAGCTGTGTGCTCATGCTGAAGGCTTTCCCGCACTCTAGGCACTCGTAGGGCTTCTCCCCCTTGTGGATTCGCTGATGGTAGATGAGACTGGAGCTCTGGCTGAAGGCCTTCCCACAGTCACTGCACTCGTAGGGCTTCTCTCCAGTGTGGATTCTCTGATGCTGAATGAGGTGTGAGCCCTGCACAAAGCCTTTCCCGCACTCCTCACATTTAAATGGCTTCTCTCCAGTGTGAGTCCTCTGGTGGCGAATAAGCCGTGAGCTACAGCCGAAGGCTTTCGCACACTTGTTGCACTTGTACGGCTTCTCACCAGTGTGAGTCAGCTGGTGCTGGCTAAGGCGAGAGACCCACCGAAATGCCTTCCCACACTCGTCGCACTTGAAGGGTTTCTCTGTGGCGAGAGTCCGCTGATGGGCAGCGAGGTTGGGACTCTCTGGGGCTCTGGGGACTTGAGGCCTCTCCCCCGCATGCATCCGCTGGTGCTGAGCGAGGGTGGAGCTCTGGCTGAAGGCCTTCCCACACTCCTTGCAGGGGTAGGGCCTCTCTCCAGTGTGAGTCCTCTGGTGTCTGACCAGCTGGGACTGCTGGCTGAAGGCCTTGCCACACTCACGGCAGCCATAGGGCCGCTCCCCTGTGTGTACCCTCTGATGGTGGATGAGGCTGGAGCTCTGGCCAAAGGCCTTTCCACACTCCTCACACCTGTAGGGCTTCTCTCCAGTGTGAATTCTTTGATGCTGAATAAGTTTTGAGCTCAAACGAAAGGCCTTTCCACATTCAATGCATTTGAACGGCTTCTCCCCAGTGTGGATTCGCTGGTGCTGATTCAGCTGCGAGCACAGCCTGAAGACTTTTCCACACTCCTCACACACATATGGCTTCTCTCCATGGCGGCGACTCTGACCTTTCCCCTGGAAGCACTCAGGTAGTTTTCCCCAGCACTCCTGACATCTGTTTCTTTTCTTCTGTCTGTTACCTTCCTGATGCAGAGCAGTATCTGAAGTCGATCTGAAGCTTCGGCCACACATGTCGCATCTGGGGGACGCTCCTCCTGCGGCGGCTCCCTGGGCGTCCTTCTCGGTGAAGGTCTTCCAGGGTGTTATGGTCCCGGCGTTCAAATGGTTACTCTGGAAGAGGGAGCTCACCACTCTCAGCCCAGGGCTGCCTGCCTGGCTCTCTGACCAGTCCTCAGAATCACAGGTGCTGCCAAAGCTGGGGCTCTGAGGAGAACCCCGTGGGGGGGTGCTGAGCACTGCCACACAGGACTTTGATGTGAGGACGCGCATGTCCTCACAGACCTGCTCACCAGCAGTCCTAACCACAGGATCTGAAACAAACAGGACATAAAAATGCTCCTTATCCCCTGCCCTCAGAGAAGGTAAAAAGGGGTGGGTTTGTGTGTATGTGCAGGTCACCCCCGGGGTGCCACCCAGGACAGGCAGCCAAGAGCAGAGATACGCCCATGTGGTTCTCAAATGTGACCCCTCATGCATGCACGCAAAGATGGTGGGCTTGGCAGTGCTCACACCACCACCCATGAGGGACACAGGCCAGCAGAGGAGCTCACCCCACGGGAACTGGAACGAGGGCAGACCCACGTGGAAACAGCATGCGTCTGAGGGGTGGGAAGTTCCCGAGAGGCTGGATACGGGGGTGGAGGAGGCTAGCAGGACACGACACTAGGAGTGAAGAAGCGAGGAGCCCAGAGCCAGGCTCTGGGATGCGCACAGCAGGGTCCGAGAGGGACCCCGGGTGAACTCCGCTTCCTCCAGCTGCTGCCAAGTCCCTCCTCCGACCCCATCCCTGGTAGTCTGCCCACACTGACCTCTTCCCTCGGGGAGCAATTTTCCAAAGGGCCTGCCTACCCCGCCCCTGCATCTTGAAGCCTCCCAACATTCATTTTCCAAATACGCCTCTCTGGACCCCATAAGGCACCTCCCCATAAGGCACCTGCCCTTGGGTGTGCAGGAGCCACCGACACCGCATCTCCACCACATGAGAACCACCCCCTAAGGAGTCTTCTGCCCACCACAAGGCCAGCAGCGCAACAGTCACCCACTGGAATGGCTGTGGCTCAAGGAGACTAAGCAACTCGACAACTCCCTCTCAGTGCTAACCCAGGCAGAGCTGCCTTGGGTCCAGTGGGGCCGCCAACAGGATGCCGGCTGTTCTGCTCTGCTGGGGCCGTGCTCTAGGCACATGCCCACTCTGCCCCTGACGACAAAACACAAAGCAGACACGTGCACTGCCCAGAAAGTGTGGGCAGGCCTCGGCCGCCTGTGAGAGCACTTGCCTGCGAGGCTGCACAGCCCCAGCCAGGGTCACTCAACCAAGTTCTCACTTCCCTACAGCTCCAGCCTCACCACACGCCAGCGCCACGCCCAGGCCTTATCCAGCAAAGCTGGCTGCACAGCCCTCCTTGGGCCCCGGTACAGGTGTCCCTGCAGAAAACATAACATATCTCCCAGGGGCGGGGGGATTCAGGTCGGGTTCGTGCTCTCCTCAGGCTCACGAGTCTGTGCCTTTGCTTAACAGGGATAACAGTAACATTAGAAACTGAATAAAATGTGGCTCAAAAACCAATACCATTTTTGCCAAAATGCACCAACATTTTCCCCTTGCTTTTCTGCCATGCAAGAAGCAGCCTGGCAGCTGGCCTGAGCTGCCACCAATGGGCCCCATGTCCCCAGGCTGCCCACAGGCCTGCGTGGCCCCTGGGGTCTGCCTGTAGGCTCCCACCCTTACAGCCATTGAGGGGCATGAGTACTCTGAACCCTTCCACACCCCTGTGGGCAGGCAGTCTGCCCACACTGACCTCTTCCCTCAGGGAGCAAGTTTTCAAAGGGCCTGCCTACCTTGCCCCCACATCTTGAGACCTCCCAACATTCATTTTCCAAATGAATTCAGTCCTTTGCCATAGGCCTGGGCCTTACCTCTTTGGGAGATTACTGGTGCCTCTGTCCCCTCCACTCCCTGCAGGTCGAGCACCCACGGCTCCTGCCCCTGCTCCAGTCGGGAGATCAACTCAGGCTTGAAGACCAGGAATCCTGCTGTGTGGTTGGAGAAGGAGACTGTGTTGGTGTGGCCAGGGGCCCAGCACAGGGCCCAGACCTGAATTTCCAGGAGTACAGGGGCAGGGGGTTGCTGGGGTGCAGACAGAGCTTCTGCAGGGTGCACAGGGGGTGAGGAGCTGGGCACAGGGCCCTCTCTCTCTGTCCAGAAGTGCCTGGCTCCCTGGCTGAGGTCTGAGAGGGACCTAGATTCCCAGTCTATCCCCACTGCAGCAGAACGTGGGGCAGGAGGGAGAGACGAAGCCGGTAGGGCTGGAGGGACAAGAGAGCACCCTGATATCACCTGTGAAGCTGCTGCCACCCTTGCCTTGAAGCGCGAGAGTCACAATTTATTGCCCATGTGTAGCTCAGGCTTCCTGACAACGAGCTTGCCAATTGGCTCCCAAAGGTCATCTGTTGTGAGGACTGAGTCACGTGACGTGTGCAAAGCCTGGGGCCCACTGGGGTTGCTGTGACCCCTCCTGGGCACAGCTCCCGACCCACCAAGGCTGATAAATCCAAGGACCATCCAGCCTGAGACGATCTGACCACGTGCCCTCTACATCCCAGCTGACAGGCCTGGCCAGGTGGGTGCAAGGGTAAGAGTGCTGAGGGGCAGCCTCACCTAGTCCGGCCACACTGCTGTGATTCTCCAGCATCACCTCCTTGTAGAGAGCCCTCTGGCCAGGGTCCAGGCACTGCCACTCCTCCCTTGAGAAGTGCACGGCCACATCACCAAAGGTCACGGCCTCCTGAAAGAACACACACCGGCTACTCTGGGACCCGAGTGCCAGCCCCACCCTGCCCCCTTCGGACAGGTCTCAGACACATGCACCACGCCAGGTCCCTGACTGTAAAATGGGGAGGAAGAATTCCAGCCCAGCTATCTACAACCCACCCCCTTCAAAAGCCTCAGGCAGGTTGTGGGACAGGCCCAGGACAAGGCAGGGAGGGGCCGCCTCAAGGAGGATGGAAGGAGGCTGTCTGGCCCCTACCATGAGGCTCCGGGGCTGGATATCCACGCGTCCTGATCCAGGGACCTGCTGGCAGAAAGGGTCAGAGGTCAGGGTGCTGGAGGTGCGGGCCCCTGGCTTCCAGGCCAATGTGGAGGCGCGGTCGCCCCTTTCTGTGCAGGCACGCAGGGTGGGGCTGCAGCCCTCAGGGCTCTTGAGCACTGTCCCCTCTAGTGTGCGGCGCGGGGACCTACGTCCCGAGCCTCACGCGGTGGCGCCCGCGGGAGGTGCCGGCCAGGCCCTGGGGCGGCCCAGAGAACCAGCGGGGCCGCTACCTTCGCGGAGCGCGTCCAAAGAGGAGGGCGCGTGGCCGCTCGACGACCGCCGGGCAACGCCGACTCGCCAGCCGTCGCTTCCAGGAGCGAACGGGCGCAGGGGAGGGTGTCCGGAGCCCCCGGGCGAGCGCGGCGCGGACGCGCGAGGGGCCTGCGGCAGGAGGGCGGGCCCGGGCCGGGCAGGAGCCGGAGGCGCCGCCCCGCGCGAGCCGTCCCCGCCACAGGCCACGACGGCAGCGTCCAGGGCTCCAGGGCGCCAGGGCACGATCTCCCGCGAGGCCGGCGGGCGCGGCCTTCCTGCGAGGGCTCCGGGCCCGGCCCGCGCGGGCCCCCCGCGCACGGCGCCCCCCGCGGCTGTCGCGACGCCGGGTCTCCGGGGCCGCGGGCCAGGCGGGCGGCCGCGCACACAGCACCGTCGGGCCTGGCCAGCGGCCCCCGCCGAGGTAAGGGGCCCAGGGTCGCGCGGCCCCGCGTCCGCGCCCGTCGCGCCGACTCACCAGAGAACCGCCGGGGCTCGAAACCCGCGACGACGCCGGAAACGGGCCTCGGACGGCCGCGCCTGCTGCTCGCGGATTCCGGCCCCTCTGGGCGGCTCGGAGGCTCAGCCGACTCGGTGGTTGCCAGCCCGAAGCCGGCGAGGGGGAGGGGCGCGCCCGCGCGGAGGAGGGGCGTGGCCGCGCAGAGAGGGGCCGGGGCCGCGCGAGGGAGGGGCGGGGCCGCGCGGGGAGGGGCGGGGCCGCGCGGGGGAGGGGCGGGGCCGCGCGGGGAGGGGCGGGGCCGCGCGGAGCACCGGCCCGGGCTAGGGGAGGGGCGGGGCGGGAGCGCCACGGCTTCTCTCCGGAGGCGCGGAGCAGCCGCCTCCTGTGGCCTCCTGTGGGCTCCCGCCGGCTTGCCAGCCAGAGGAGTAAAGGCAGGATGGCTTTCATACATTGTCAAAGCGTTTGAGATTTCGGAATTGTGGCTCAGGGATTGTGGACCCGGCCATCCCCCGTCCAGTTCTTGTGTGCATAAATAAATAAACCTTTGAAAAATAAGATTTATTTATTGCGTAGAACTGGGTTCAGGCCAGAGGTGCGGGGGGGAGGGGGTGAGAGGATTAACCAGAGGCAGAGCGGGGAGCAGAACAGGCGGATCCACTGAAGCCCACTGCTGAGGGGAGCAGCGGGGAGACAGGAGGGGTCTGCTGCACCCTGTGGGTCACTCCCTGGCCGGGGAAAGGACTCAGGCCATAGCGTGACAGCACTGAAACTAAACCACTAGGCCACCAGGGAGGCCCTCCTTTTTCTTTTCTTTTTAGTTATCAGAGCCAGTTTGACTAAAACGAAAGGAACTCTTAGGAATATAATCTAGAACCAACCCTAGCCTTGGTCAACAGCTTTTGCAATTCTATTCTCCCCCCCCTCCTTTTCCTTTAAAAATTCCTCAAGGACCCTAGTGAGACATAATTTGAACTGTTACGAAGTTTTGCTCCCCAAATATGATACCCCAAATAAACACTATTATTTTATTAATTTACTGTTTACACGTGTTCTTTAGGTACGCGCGCTCGCGCACACGCACACACACACACACACCTGACAAATGAACAAAAACCCAGAAGGGGGCCTCTCTGGTGGTGCAAGGGTTTAAGACACAACCTATGAAGCTGTCTGCAGCCTCTGCAGCACGAGTTTGATCCCCAGCCAGGGAGCTGCCCACATGGCACAGCAGACCTCTCCTGTCTCCCCACTGCTCCCTCAGCAGTGTATTTCAGTGCATCTGCCTATTCTGTTCCCTCACTCTGTCTCTGGGGAGTCCTCTCACTCTCACACCTCTGGCCTGTACCCCAGTTCTTGTATGCATAAATAAATAAATCTTCAAAAAAAGAAAACCCAGAAGGATCCTTAGTCATATTTGAGTTAAACACAAATTCTGATTGAGTAATGATGGAGAATTCATGCAACTTTGAGAAAGGCTGTGCCCTTGCCTGCCACCAGGTGATGCTTGGGGTCCCTGGATCCATTTCCTTCATCAGACTGCTCTCCTGGTTAAAACGTGCTACATTGCAGGGTCCAGCCTGTCTGGAACATGTTATCATGAGTGTTCCCTGATCTATCGTCTTGCTCTCTTTTCCCCAATTTCTGAGTTGAGAACTTTGAAATTGTCAGACATTGATGTAAATGAACCCTCCCATTAGTTCCTTATTCAGAGAAGAAAGATGGGGTTTTCCCTTTCTAGTTTTATTTTGTTTTTCCCGGTGGGGACTAATGAGGAGGAAGCAGCCTTGAGCCTGTGCAGCAAGGTGGGGAATGGGTCTGGAAGGAACGGGTTTGGAGTCTCTGCTCAAGTGTGAAGCAAGTTCAGTCCCGGGCGGGGAGCCTCCTCCTGCAGAGTTGGAGTTTTCCCAAGGAGTAAGAGCAATGAAGTAGGGAAACACCCAGAAGAGAGCACGATGCAGACTTAGGGTGTGGAGAAAATTGAGATGGGCATGATTCTTTGTTTCCTGAGGAGAGGCCTAGAAATGTAGTTTGGACAAATTTTTCAGAATATTCATGTGGAATTAAACCTGAGATGTCATCTGTCATCAAGAGAAACTGTACAGCCTCTCTGAGAGGCTCTGATTTTATGATTTCTGTGAAAAAAAAAAAAAAGTCCCATTGTCTGAAATCCTGCAGTTGTCATGCCTGGCTGCAATTGCAGCCACACACCGGCTCCCAGGTGAATTTAGGGATGGAGCAGTGGCGGGGGGCGGGGCGATAGCTGGACTTGTGACCCTTTTTCTGGGGCAAGGTGAGACCTTCTCGTTCCCAGAGCTGTATCCCTATCAGCACGAGGAAACCACTCACCTTTTGCACAGAGTCACCCAAATATTCTCTATGTTGGAGGCTTAAACAGGGACTCAGGGGATGCAGGCACCTGGCGCGCGCTGTAGCCTGGTTGTGTTGAACCCGCGACCAGGCCCCTCTCCTGTGAGGGTGCGAGCCAACGCTGCGGGCTTCAGAACCGCGGACAGCGCCACGCCGCCTGGTTCGGTCCCGGCGCGGGTGCCGAAGGTTCAGCACCACGG